GTGATCCCCCTCCTCTACTCTTCCAACTTTGGCCACACATCATTGCAGGTCCACTGTGACTCCCCCGCCCTTCCACGACATACTCACATAGTGGAGGTCCCACTGTGACCACCTCCTCCTGTTTCCCCAACATACACACTAGTGAAGGTCCCACTGTGACCGCCTCCTCCTGCTCCACGACTACACTAGTGGCAGTCCACTGTGATCCAGCGCCTCCTGCTCCGAAAACTCACACAGTGGCAGGTCCCACTGTGACCAGGCCTCCTCCTGCTTCCACGACATACTCACACTAGTGGCAGGTCCCACTGTGACCAGGCCTCCTCCTGCTTCCACGACATACACTCACTAGTGGCAGGTCCCACTGTGACCAGGCCTCCTCCTGCTTCCACGACATACTCACACTAGTGGCAGGTCCCACTGTGACCCGGCCTCCTACTGCTTCCACGACATTCTCACACTAGTGGCAGGTCCCACTGTGACCAGGCCTCCTCCTGCTTCCACGACTACTACGTGGCAGGCCACTGTGACCAGGCCTCCACTATGCTCCACGACATTCTCCACACTCACTAGTGGCAGGTCCCACTGGTCCCCCGCCTCCTCTTCTTCCACGACATACACTAGTGGCAGGTCCCACTGTGTCCCCCCGCCCCGACTTTCAACGACATCACTCGGGCGGTCCCACTGTGACCAGGCCTCCTCCTGCTTCCACGACATACACTAGTGGCAGGTCCCACTGTGACCAGGCCTCCTCCTGCTTCCCACATCCCACTGGCAGGTACCACTGGACCAGGCCTCCTCCTGCTTCACACATCTCACACTAGTGGCAGGTCCCACTGTGACCAGGCCCCTGTTCCCGACCCCCCCTGTGTCCAGCATATAACTGCCGTCCCTACTACTCCCCTCACCTGACTACAGTATATAAACACCTCTCTGGCCCTATGCTGCACTTCCTAAGCACTTGACGACTGACACGATCAGCTCCAGGTTGAGGACTGATTCCTCAACTCCTCCTCACCTTCCCCATTTCTACTTTGTGTTGGACTGATGAAGACACTGTGTGGCGAAACGTTTCCTTAAACTTATTGGGTTTCAAAGCCATTTATCACACAAGATACCCAGGGATACCAAGGGATACTAATAGATATCTAAGGATACCTAAAATATACCCAGGGATACCTAGGGGATGTATAGGAATATCTAGGGATACCCATTGATACCTAAGGATACACAGGGATACTTGGGGATACTCATAGACAAACAGGATGCCGAGGGACAAACAGGGATACCCAGTGAAAGGGATACCCAGGGATACTTTGGGATATCCAGGGACAAAGTGGGATACCCAGGGATAGCTAAATATACTCAGAAATGCCAAGGGATACCAGGGACAGCTAGGAATGCCCCGGAATACGAAGGGATACCAGGAATGCTAGGAATATCTAGGGATACCCAGTGATACCTAAGGATACACAGGGATACCTAGGGATAATCATAGACAAACAGGGATGCCGAGGAACAAACAGGGATGCCGAGGAACAAACAGGGATACCCAGATATACTTTGAGATATCTAGGGACAAACAGGGACACCCAGGGATAGATAAAGATAACCAGAAATACCAAGGGATAGCTAGGGATACCCAAGGATAGCTAGGGGTACCCCTGAATACGAAGGGATACCAAGAATGCTAGGAATAGCTAGGGATACCCAGGAATACCAGGGATAGCTAGGGACACCCAGGGATACTCATGGATACTCAGAAATACCTAAGGGCACGCAGGGATACCCAGGGCAAGATTATTATTATTATTATTATTATTATTATTATTATTATTATTATTATTATTATTATTATTATTATTATTATTATGGTGATAACATTGCGTGTCGACACCACTAACACCATCACCTCCAGCACTATCACCAGCAGCACCATTAACACCATCACCTCCAGCACTATCACCAGCAGCACCATTAACACCATCACCTCCAGCACCATTAACACCATCACCTCCAGCACTCTTACAACACCAGCAGCACCACTAACACCATCAGCATCGCTAGATACACCAGCAAACCCTAGCACCACTAACACCACCACTACCACTGACACCACACCAACTACAACACAACTAACACCAACCACCTCCACTAGCACCACCACCTCCACTAACACCACCACTTCTACTAACACCACACCTCCAATAGTACCAGCACCACTAACACCATCACCAGCACTACTAAATCATCACCAGCAGCACTACTAACACTAGCACCACTAACACCGCCAGTAACATTAGCACCACCACCAGCAACACTAGTACCACTAAAAACCTGCACCAATAACACCACACATACACCAACACCACTAGCACAGCTAACACCACCACCAGCACCACTAAACCACCGTCAGCATCACTGACACCACCACCAGTACCACTAACACCACCACCAGCACCACTAAAACCACCACCAGCACCACTAACACCACCACCACCACTAACACCACCCCACTAACACCACCACCACCACTAACACCACCACCACCACTAACCACCACCACCACTAACACCACCAACACTACACCAACCATCCACCACCACCACTAACACCACCACTAACCAGCACCACTAACACCACCACCAGCACCACTAACACCACCAGCACCATTAACACCACCACCAAAGCACCACTACACACCACCACCACCACTAACACCAGCACCACTAACACCACCCCAGCACCACTAACACCACCAGCACCACTAACACCACCACCAGCACTACTAACACCACCACCAGCACCACTACACCACCACCACCACCACCACCCACTAACACCACACCAACCACCACCACAACACCACCCACACTAAACAACCACCACCAGCACCACTAACACCACCTCCACCACTAACACCACCACCAGCACCACTAACACCACCACCACCACTAACACCACCACCAGCACCACTAAACAACCACCACCAACCACCACTAACAACCACCACCAGCACCACTAACACCACCACCACCACTAACACCACCACCATACCCACCACCACACCACTACCACCACCAGCACCACTAACACACCACCAGCACCACTAACACCACCACCACACACTAAACCACCACCCACCACCTAACACCACCCCACCACACACCACCACCACCCACCACCACCACCACCACTAACACCACCACCACCCACTAACACCACCACCACCACACACCACACACCACCACTCACCCACCACCACTAACACCCACCACCACCACTAACACCACCACCACCACTAACCACCACCACCACACCCACCACACCACACCACCACCACCACTAACACCACCACCCACTAACACCACCACCACCACTAACACCACCACCAGCACCACTAACCCACCACCACCACTAACACCCACCACCCACCACTAACACCACCAGCCACTAACACCCCACACCACCACCACCACTAACACCACCCACCACACTAACACCACCACCACCACTAACCCACCACCACCACTAACACCACCACACCCACCACTAACACACCACCACCACTAACCCACCACCAGCACACTAACACCACACCACCACTACACTACACCACACCACCACTAACACACCACCACCACCACTAACACCACCACCACCACTAACACCACCACCACCACTAACACCACCACCACCACCACTAACACCACCACCACCCACTAACACCACCACCACCACTAACACCACCACCACACTAACACCACCACCAGCACCACTAACACCACCACCACCACTAAACCACCACCACCACCACTAACACCACCACCACCACTAACACCACACCACCACCACTAACCCACCACCACCACCACTAACCACTCACCACCACACCACTAACCACCACCACCACCACCACTAACACCACCACCACCACTAACACCACCATAACACCACTAACACCACCACCACTAACACCACCACCACCACTAACACCACCACCAGCACCACTAACACCACCACCAGCACCACTAACACCACCACCACCACACTACACCACCACCAGCACACTACACCACCCACCACTAACACCACCACCACACCACTAACACCACCACCACTAACACCACCACCCACCCTAACACCACCACCACCACTAAAACCCACCACCCACCAGCACCACTAACACCACCACCAAACCACTAACACACCACCCACCACTAACAACACCACCAGCACCACTAACACCCACACCACCACAACACCACCACACCCAACAACACCAACCACTAACACACCACCACACCACTAACACCACCACCACACCACCACCACCACCACCACTAAACACCACCACCACCCACCACACCACTAACACCACCACCCCCAACACCACCACCACTAACCCACCACACCACTAACACCACCACCACCACTAAACACCACCACCACCACTAACACCCACCACCCGCACCACTACACCACCACCACACCACTAACACCACCACACCACTAACACCACCAGCACCACTAACACCACCACCACCATACCACCTCACCACACCACTAACCCACCACACCACTACACCACACCAGCACACTAACACCACCACCAACCACTAACACCACCCACCACACCACACCACCACTAACCACCACCACACCACTAACACCACCACCACCACCATAACAACCACCACGCACCACTAACACCACCACCACCACTACACCACCACCACACCACTAACACCACCACCACCACTACACCACCACCACCACCACTAACACCACCACCAGCACCACTAACACCACCACCACCACCACTAACACACACCACCACCACTAACACACCACCACACCACTAACACACACCAGCACCACTAACACCACCACCACCACTAACACCACCACCAGCCCACTAACCACCACCACCCACCACTAACACAACACCTTTACAGCCACCAGCGCGCTCACCACCAACACTGTCATTAACGACGACCACCATGTACACGTACACCTGTCCACCAGGACCTCACACCACGGCACCAGATCCACGGTAACATCAAGTCCACCATGACCAGCTAACACCACCACCATCTAACACCCACCAAGTCATCCACTGGAACACCACAGCACCCACTATACATGACATCCAGTGCCTCCATGTTGCATCAGACATTCCAGATGCGCTGAGATCACTCTCTAACGACGGACCCGACCCGTGGCGCTTACGCCGCACCGTCGGTCCCTATAACACCCATCCTATACTTCAAGTCGGATATAGACGGCTGAGTCACCAGGTTACCCACAGATTTCACCAACTCTGAGCCTCGCGCTCCAAGGATCAGTACATATTATACAAGATACCGCCAGGTAGCGGGCTGTAGCACTAACTCCAGATCCAGCTATCCTGGAAGTGACAGAGCACCCTGTCACGTGCCCGGATGCTATCAGAGACCAATCCCATTGGGAGTTAGCAGTCACCAGGTCACACTTGAGATGTCACAGGACCTCAGCCCAGTTCCCCAGGCAGTGAAATGATCAACATACCTGGATGACAGCTCAACAGCAGCCACGGCAGATAGCCATGAAACAGTCACTTTGATTCACCGGGAGGAGGATCACCTCCACTTCACAGCTTCTGTTCGTACATCACGAAACTCGCCGAACACGCTCACGGGACGCATTAACAATCTTCGAGGCCAACGTTGTAAGATCGGCCCGACGTGAGACATCCGCTAAACGCTCCACTCGTCCCTACAGAAACTTAACCTCCATTCTGGAGCTTACAAACAATTCTTTCTTTGTCGTTCTGACGTCTAAAAATACTCCGTCGGGAGGGAGTGAATTAGGAGACGCGGCAGTGGAGTCGCCTTCACGAGACAGTGTAGAAGTAGGCTCCAGAGCCTCATCAGAGACTCTCATGAATAATCCACAGACATTAGCAACAGCGACAGCACACGGCCAGGACCCTCAGCTGACAGCTGTAACCGGAGCCCACCATTATATTATTACGCGAACAGCCGCTACCACTACGCGGGAGCTTGCCGCAGCACCGCCAGAATACCGCACCCGCAACCCACTCAGTGACGCAGAAAATGCAATCTTACAGGAGAGAGAAAGTTCGTTGGTAAGTCGCCAGGGGATCGTCATCCCTGATCTTATGAACGCACCTTCATCACCAAACCAACTGGAGATCTTCCCTCCAGAGAACTCAGCGTTACACAGCCATGAATATCAAGCAACTGGCAAGACATTAGCAGCTCCTCTAGTACTCCCTTCGTTTCAGGACACAACACCAGTCCTCCTTCAGCATGTAGATCCTCCTAGTAGTGTCAACACCCCATCTACCACAACCACCACTCTGGAACCTCAGAATCAAATTCCCTTCTCTCAGGACTTGCAGACTTCCAGTTCGGTATCTGGAAGTAGCGAAGCGAGTGTATACGTGCGCACTAATGATGAGGGAACTGGTTTAATTGATAGTAGTAAACAGGTGGATCTATTTCCGCCAAATACACAACCCACACCTGTTGAAACTACCTTAATGACCATCGCATCGACTAAACTTGTTGATTCAGCTCAGAATACAAGTCAACTCTCCTTACACTCGCTAACCGGGAGCTCTACTACAACTTCAGCCTTGGATATCAACACGAATATGGACATCAATGACACCTCTATACATCTAGCGTTAGCAGTAACAGGAGAAACAGAACAGAAAGTGGGCATAACAACAGACCCCATTGTCGCTCCTTTAAAGCCTCTCTCTGATGAGCACATAAAACTCAGCCCAGTGGGAACTAATAATACAAAACTAACAAACTCTCACAAGGGCTTTCGAGATAATCACACTGACGACAATTTAATACCAGACCCACACGCTGCGGCAGCTATTGCCCATAACGTGGGCCCAGAGCTAGGGGAAGCCCATGCTGGCAGTCCCAGAGGACAAGTAAGGGGCCAGTCCGTAGGAGAGGAAAAAAATAATGGAGAGAAAGCAGATAACTTTGATATAAAGTATGGAAATAAGCAAGAATATCAGTCTGAGGAGACAGCGAAGTACAAGATGCAAGAGGGTCGTGAAGAACAATCACAGGCTGATAAACCTTTGGCTAAAGGAGTTCCTATACCCTTTGAAGCCCTGATGAACCAGGAACAGAGGGTCGGATCCACCGACTTCCGTCAGGACCTTGAAGGGAACGAGGGAGATCGTAACCTTAAAATATCTCCCGGCCATAAAGAAAGTCTCCAAGGGAAAAGAGATAAGTTTGAGAGTAGAGAGACTGACAACGATGACGCCAACTTGGCTGCCTTCAAGTTCTTGACTTTCCATCAGGAAAATCGCCATCAAACTGCAGAGTTCTCAGCTTTGAGGACTGTTCAAAGCGACGAAGCTGATGGAAGTGTTAGAGGAGCTATAAGGAAAGTCTCGACCAGAGTGGACCATGAAGCACTGTGGGAAGCTGAACGCCCACCTAACGAAGCTAAGGCAAGAACCGGGCTGTATAAATCAACACATGGACATAGCGTTCAAGATACACAGATGAACAAGAAGTATACCGAAGAACAGCAGCGTGACGAAGAACAAAACCACGAAGGCAGTGAGAACAAGGACACCAGCGCAGCAGGAATACAAAGTGCCACTGGATACAACACTAAGCCTGACGTGCCTGCATTACACACCCTGACCACATCCCTTCACACCAAGGCTCCCTCCCACCCTCTTGATGTGGCCCCTCACTCTCTTTCCCAAGTGGAAAGACACACTGAAAGCACACAGGAACCCCGGGAAGGATTACCTCGAAAGGAGGGTCAAATCCTCGTGATTTTCCCCTCACGAGGGGAATATATTCCCCAGGATGGAAAAGATAAGAGAGGATACACAACACAAGGACGTGGTACAACAGACAGTGATACTTCTGTTGTAGGTGCTGTGTACGGTTCTATTTTACGAGATGAACCAGCTGTTTTTTCCGTTGAAGATAGTGTTGCTGTCGGAGATGGTGGTGGTGGTTCTGCTGTCAGAGATGATGCTGGGAGTTCTGCTGTCAGAGAAGGTGATGCTGGGAGTTCTGCTGTCAGAGATGATGCTGGGAGTTCTGCTGTCAGAGATGATGCTGGGAGTTCTGCTGTCAGAGATGATGCTGGGAGTTCTGCTGTCAGAGATGATGCTGGGAGTTCTGCTGTCAGAGATGATGCTGGGAGTCCTGCTGTCAGAGAAGATGATGCTGGGAGTTCTGCTGTCAGAGATGATGTTGGGAGTTCTGCTGTCAGAGAAGATGATGCTGGGAGTTCTGCTGTCAGAGAAGGTGATGCTGGGAGTTCTGCTGTCAGAGAAGATGATGCTGGGAGTTCTGCTGTCAGAGAAGATGATGCTGGGAGTTCTGCTGTCAGAGAAGATGCTGGGAGTTCTGCTGTCAGAGAGGATGATGCTGGGAGTTCTGCTGTCAGAGAGGATGATGCTGGGAGTTCTGCTGTCAGAGAGGATGATGCTGGGAGTTCTTCTGTCAGAGAGGATGATGCTGGGAGTTCTGCTGTCAGAAAGGATGATGCTGGGAGTTCTGCTGTCAGAGAGGATGATGCTGGGAGTTCTGCTGTCAGAGAGGATGATGTTGGGAGCTCTGCTGTCAGAGAGGATGATGCTGGGAGTTCTGCTGTCAGAGAAGATGATGCTGGGAGTTCTGCTGTCAGAGAAGATGATGCTGGGAGTTCTGCTGTCAGAGAGGATGATGCTGGGAGTTCTGCTGTCAGAGAGGATGATGCTGGGAGTTCTGCTGTCAGAGAGGATGATGCTGGGAGTTCTGCTGTCAGAGAGGATGATGCTGGGAGTTCTGCTGTGGGCAGAGATGCTGAAGCTACTTCTGCTGTCTGGGGAGACAGTTCACCTCCCTGGAGAGACGTCGGAGAGACGTCTTCACAGCAAGCTGGTGAAAGCGACAGCTTAATGGCTCCTCGGCACACGTCACTTTCTAGGACGTCAGAACGCAGCGAGGTAAATATTGATCAGGGGGCGCCGCCCCACCTACTCTCACGCCCCCTAGCGCCTCCCAAGACACAATCAACCTACAAAGACGCTAGAAGCGAAGTTCACCTTATTACCTCCGATATGATGTCCGGAAATCAAAAACAATTAACAGACCAACTGATGCTATCAGAATCATCTCCAGCGTCTCCCAGCATCCACGAACAGTTAACAGACCAACTGATGCTATCAGAATCATCTCCAGCGTCTCCCAGCATCCACGAACAGTTAACAGACCAACTGATGCTATCAGAATCATCTCCAGCGTCTCCTAGCATCCACGAACAGTTAACAGACCAACTGATGCTATCAGAATCATCTCCAGCGTCTTCCAGCATCCACAAACAGTTAACAGGCCAACTGATGCTATCAGAATCATCTCCAGCGTCTTCCAGCATCCACAAACAGTTAACAGGCCAACTGATGCTCTCAGAATCATTTCCAGCGTCTCCCAGCATCCACGAACAGTTAACAGATCAACTGATGCTCTCAGAATCATCTCCAGCGTCTCCCAGCATCCGAGAGGATGAGAAGGTTGAGAGAACCGACAGTAAAAACTCCTTCAACTACGAAAGTTTACGGTCAGTTGAAGCGGCACCGTTCTCAGATAACGTAACACCTTCGGATGCCCATGTTCGTAATACAAATTCTTACGAAGGTGTTGGTGGAGCACTGGCTCTTCCTGTTATTGGAGATATCTCGCTGCAAAGAAGACCATCCTCGGTGAAAGACCAACCTGCCAGTGTTGGAATTACTGGTATTAAGGGAATTGGAATCAACGACTTGACAGACAAAGATCAAAGAAATAAAATGGGGGACGGAATTTCTTCTCCCCCGAGCAACCAAACTGGAGAAATTGCCACCAAAGGTCTGGTTGCCCCAACCACACATATCAACCACAACGTTAACTCGCCACACGAGTATAAACGCCAGGAAAGTATCGAATCTCTGAGAAAGCAATCAGCTCCAGGGTCTGGGGAAGCATCCAGCGGACCGGGTTACAACGAGCGTAAGGAATCGAGTATCGATACCACGAGATCTGAAGCCAACCAAGAATACTCTTTCCTTTCAAGAAGCAATCAAGTGGTAGCTGATCCCAATCACAAGTCCGTCCACGCTCAGGTCAGCCCAGGGGATCCTACTGAAGAAAATAGAGAGGATCTAAACCCCTCCCTATCGATCTTGAGTGCCGGTGAATCGGACGTGGAGAGCAATACAGGTTCAGATGAGTACGATTATGAATACGACACTATGGGTTTCTTTGAGTACGATCTGCCTAATGAGGACACTGATTATGAAGAGAATAACAATAACAAAGGTTTAAAAGTGGGAGGGAAAGATCCTTCCAGGAACAAGGGTATTGACGAGGACGGGAAGGATCTCAAGAGGATTCCAGGAAGTTCACTGGATCGTCCTCTGGAAGACTCATTACTGGACGAGGAGAACGACACCGGAGCCTCAGGGAGAGACCAAACGACCCGTCGTCCCAGCTCACAAGTGATAGAGACCGTATTGTCGCCGCCACGCTGGAATTTTACAGATCCAGGTGAGACCAGAGGTGGAGACGAGGTTGCTGGAAGACCAGCAAGCAGTGAGGGAGCTGTCCATAACAGCAGCTCTGCTGACAGCAGCAGCAGCAGGGGTCCTGCTGGCTCACACCCCAGTCTTATGCCCCATCGCGAACTATCGCAATCCCCGGATTCTCCATGCAAATGCTCATGTCAGTGCGATGGAGGTGAGAATCCCACCGTAGCACCAGGGCGTGTTGAAGCAAATCTCAATTCTTGGGCTGGTGTGGGTGGGGTGGGCGAAGGGGGCGGCCCACCCACTTCCCCAGACCAGGAACCCACCCACCCACACCGTCACCACCACTCAGGAACAAGAAATACCTTACACACCCACCCCAACAGACATTATCCTGAAGGTGGTGACGGGAGGCCAGTAAACGATTCTTCAGCATTGACTACCCACAAACCCACACCAGCACTGCACGACCACTTTCTTGACATCAAACCCACACCAACATTAGACGACCACCTAACTGCTACCCACCAACCCACACCAGCATTAGACGACCACCTAATTGCTACCCACCAACCCACACCAGCATTAGACGACCACCTAATTCCTACCAACAAACCCACACCAGCACTAGAAGAACACACTATCCTAGTGCTTGAGGCACCTAGAGAGGATGGTAAAAAAGTTACTGGTGGTGACCTGGCTGGTGACACTGACGCACCTGGTGTTGTAGTTATCAAAAAATACAGCTATACGTTAGTGAACGCCCCGGAAGTGACGCACGTCGTAGCGGCTCCTGACGCAGTGTTCTCCGGCTCTACAAGACCTACTCTACAACCCACCAGCGTCGCTGGTAGCGTAGACGCTACCAAGATCCACGCTACCCTGATCTTAGACTCACAAGGTAAGTCGAACGAAACTCTTCTACTCCGACTAACATATACTCACCTGACTCAGAGTGAAGCCTACTCACCCCCCTCCTTTTAACCTGTAACAAAGTGAGGACCTTACTCCTATTCCTCGGATCAAATATGATTATCTAACATCCCACGCACTGGTTAAGTTTGTACAAGCTACATAATTTATATGTAGTCCGTGATTAGCGATAAGATATACATGTGTGTGTGTGTGTGTGTGTGTGTGTGTGTGTGTGTGTGTACTCACCTAGTTGAGGTTGCGGGGGTCGAGTCCGAGTGTGTGTGTGTGTGTTGTGTGTGTGTGTGTGTGTGTGTATTCATCTAACTGTACTCACCTAATTGTGGTTGAAGGGTCGATTCATAGCTCCTGGCTCCACCTTTTCACTGGTCGCTACTGTGTGCGTCGCTGTGTGTGTGTGAGTGGGCTGTGATAAACATACTTACACGTGTGTGTACGTAGTGATACACACAGTGATAACAGTTCTAGAGGTGGTACTCACCCTATATATATATATATATATATATATAATATATATATATATATATATATATATATATATATATATAATATATATATATATATATATATATATATGCAAGGAATTCGCAAGAGCAGGTGAAATATACACAAACACTGATCTCTGGCTGAAGGAGACTCGAACCTACGAACCTTGGAACAAGGTACTCAGTGCTTTACCAATCTACCCACACTGGACCAATACCTCGGAGTCCAGCTTGCGCTATACTTTGATGCAAGGCAGCCAGCTTTCTGGGAGAAGGCTTACAGCTTTTCATCTCATCCCCTGCATGCATCAGCCTTACTAGAGATGAAAAGCTGTAAGCCTTCTTCCTGAAAAGCTGGCTGCCTTGGATCAAAGTCTAGCGCAAGCTGGACTCCGAGGTATGGTCCAGTGTGGGTAGATTGGTAAAGCACTGTGTACCTTGTTCCAAGGTTCGTAGGTTCGAGTCTCCTTCAGTCAGAGATCAGTGTTTGTATATATATATATATATATAATATATATATATATATATATATATATATATATATATATATATATATATATATACTGTGTACTCGCCTAAATGTGGTTGCAGGGGTCGAGTCATAGCTCCTGGCCCATGTGTGTGTGTTTCATACTTGAAGTTCACAACCGTGAAATAAATTCACAACAGTCAACTTTAAGTTCACAAAAGTTCTTACACTGACTACTAACTTAAGTTTCATAACGAACGACAGTGCAAGAAAATATATTTCTAAGTGATACAGACCTTGAACTTTAAGTTATCTCTAAAGTCTATCAGCAGGAGTGTTCTGAAGACCCTGTCTATCAGCGGGAGTGTTCTGAAGACCCTGTCTATCAGCGGGAGTGTTCTGAAGACCCTGTCTATCAGCGGGAGTGTTCTGAAGACCCTGTCTATCAGCGGGAGTGTTCTGAAGACTCTGTTTATCAGCGGGAGTGTTCTGAAGACTCTGTTTATCAGCAGGAGTGTTCTGAAGACCCTGTTTATCAGCGGGAGTGTTCTGAAGACTCTGTTTATCAGCGGGAGTGTTCTGAAGACTCTGTTTATCAGCAGGAGTGTTCTGAAGACTCTGTTTATCAGCGGGAGTGTTCTGAAGACCCTGTTTATCAGCGGGAGTGTTCTGAAGACTCTGTTTATCAGCAGGAGTGTTCTGAAGACTCTGTTTATCAGCGGAGTGTTCTGAAGACTCTGTTTATCAGCAGGAGTGTTCTGAAGACTCTGTTTATCAGCGGAGTGTTCTGAGACCCTGTTTATCAGCGGGAGTGTTCTGAAGACTCTGTTTTATCAGCAGAGTGTTCTGAAGACTCTGTTTATCAGCAGGAGTGTTCTGAAGACTCTGTTTATCAGCAGGAGTGTTCTGAAGACCCTGTCTATCAGCGGGAGTGTTCTGAAGACCCTGTCTATCAGCGGGAGTGTTCTGAAGACCCTGTCTATCAGCGGGAGTGTTCTGAAGACCCTGTCTATCAGCGGGAGTGTTCTGAAGACTCTGTTTATCAGCAGGAGTGTTCTGAAGACTCTGTTTATATCAGCAGGAGTGTTCTGAAACTCTGTTTATCAGCAGGAGTGTTCTGAAGACTCTGTTTATCAGCAGGAGTGTTCTGAAGACTCTGTTTATCAGCGGGTGTTCTGAAGACTCTGTTTATCAGCAGGAGTGTTCTGAAGACTCTGTTTATCAGCAGGAGTGTTCTGAAGACTCTGTTTATCAGCAGGAGTGTTCTGAAGACCCTGTTTATCAGCGGGAGTGTTCTGAAGACCCTGTCTATCAGCGGGAGTGTTCTGAAGACCCTGTTTATCAGCAGGAGTGTTCTGAAGACCCTGTCTATCAGCGGGAGTGTTCTGAAGACCCTGTCTATCAGCGGGAGTGTTCTGAAGACTCTGTTTATCAGCAGGAGTGTTCTGAAGACTCTGTTTATCAGCGGGAGTGTTCTGAAGACCCTGTTTATCAGCGGGAGTGTTCTGAAGACTCTGTTTATCAGCAGGAGTGTTCTGAAGACTCTGTTTATCAGCGGGAGTGTTCTGAAGACTCTGTTTTATCAGCGGAGTGTTTCTGAAGACTCTGTTTATCAGCGGGAGTGTTCTGAAGACCCTGTTTATCAGCGGGAGTGTTCTGAAGACTCTGTTTATCAGCAGGAGTGTTCTGAAGACTCTGTTTATCAGCGGGAGTGTTCTGAAGACTCTGTTTATCAGCAGGAGTGTTCTGAAGACCCTGTCTATCAGCGGGAGTGTTCTGAAGACTCTGTTTATCAGCAGGAGTGTTCTGAAGACCCTGTCTATCAGCGGGAGTGTTCTGAAGACTCTGTTTATCAGCAGGAGTGTTCTGAAGACCCTGTCTATCAGCAGGAGTGTTCTGAAGACTCTGTTTATCAGCAGGAGTGTTCTGAAGACCCTGTCTATCAGCAGGAGTGTTCTGAAGACTCTGTTTATCAGCAGGAGTGTTCTGAAGACTCTGTTTATCAGCAGGAGTGTTCTGAAGACTCTGTTTATCAGCAGGAGTGTTCTGAAGACTCTGTTTATCAGCGGGAGTGTTCTGAAGACTCTGTTTATCAGCAGGAGTGTTCTGAAGACTCTGTTTATCAGCAGGAGTGTTCTGAAGACCCTGTCTATCAGCGGGAGTGTTCTGAAGACTCTGTTTATCAGCAGGAGTGTTCTGAAGACTCTGTTTATCAGCGGAGTGTTCTGAAGACTCTGTTTATCAGCAGGAGTGTTCTGAAGACTCTGTTTATCAGCAGGAGTGTTCTGAAGACTCTGTTTATCAGCAGGAGTGTTCTGAAGACCCTGTCTATCAGCGGGAGTATTCTGAAGACCCTGTCTATCAGCAGGAGTGTTCTGAAGACCCTGTCTATCAGCGGGAGTGTTCTGAAGACCCTGTCTATCAGCAGGAGTGTTCTGAAGACCCTGTCTATCAGCGGGAGTGTTCTGAAGACCCTGTCTATCAGCAGGAGTGTTCTGAAGACCCTGTCTATTGTCAGGGTGTTGCTCTAAGGTCCCCATCTATCGTCAGGGTGTTGGAATGATCCCGTCTATCGTCTGTATGTGCATGTGTAGAAGTTATTCCCATGCGTGCATGTGTAGTTATTATTGTTGTTGTTAGTACACTTGTTGTCACTTGTATCTGTGCTGAGAGAGAGAGAGAGAGAGAGAGAAAAAAGGGCTCGGGAAAATAGGTGATTTAAAATGGCAATAAATCTTGTCTCCCCATCCCCCATAAGCCTTGTCTCCCCATCCCCCATAAGCCTCCATTTTCACCCCATTTTATCCTGGGTCTCTTCTTAAGGAACAATTTAGAAAATGGGCCTTCTTGAGAGCTGGTAGAGAGGTGATTTTAGCCTGATGGGGGTATTTGTCGTGGCTGTGATGTAGTGTGTGTACTCACCTAATTGTGGTTGCAGGGGTCGAGACTCAGCTCCTGACCCCGCCTCTTCACTGATCGCTACTAGGTCCTCTCCCTCTGCTTCCTGAGCTTTGTCATACCTCTTCTTAAAACTATGTATGGTTCCTGCCTCCACTACTTCACTTGCTAGGCTATTCCACTTGCTGACAACTCTATGACTGAAGAAATACTTCCTAACATCCCTGTGACTCGTCTGAGTCTTCAGCTTCCAGTTGTGACCCCTTGTCCCTGTGTCCCCTCTCTGGAACATCCTATCTCTGTCCACCTTGTCTATCCCCCACAGTATCTTGTATGTCGTTATCATGTCTCCCCTGACCCTTCTGTCCTCCAGTGTCGTCAGTCCGATTTCCCTCAACCTTTCCTCGTACGACATTCCCTTGAGCTCTGGGACTAGCCTTGTTGCAAACCTTTGTACTTTCTCTAACTTCTTGACGTGCTTGACCAGGTGTGGGTTCCAGACTGGTGCTGCATACTCCAGTATGGGTCTAACATACACAGTGTACAGTGTCTTGAACGATTCCTTATTAAGGTATCGGAACGCTATTCTCAGGTTTGCCAGGCGCCCGTATGCTGCAGCAGTTATTTGGTTGATGTGTGCCTCCGGTGATGTGCTCGGTGTTATGGTCACCCCAAGATCTTTCTCCCTGAGTGAGGTCTGTAGTCTTTGTCCACCTAGCCTATACTCTGTCTGCGGTCTTCTTTGCCCCTCCCCAATCTTCATGACTTTGCATTTGGCAGGGTTGAATTCGAGAAACCACTTTCTGGACCACATGTTCAGCCTGTCCAGGTCTCTTTGCAGTCCTGCCTCGTCCTTATCCGATTTAATTCTTCTCATCAACTTCACATCATCAGAGTCTATTCCTTCCATCATGTCGTTCGCATATATCAAAAATAGCACTGGTCCTAGAACTGACCCCTGTGGGACCCCGCTCGTCACAGGCGCCCACTGTGATACTTCTTCACGTACCATGACTCGTTGCTGCCTCCCTGTCAGGTATTCCCCGATCCATTGCAGTGCCCTCTTTGTTATATGCGCCTGATTCTCCAGCTTCTGCACTAATCTCTTGTGAGGGACTGTCAAAGGCCTTCCTGCAGTCCAGAAAAATGCAATCAACCCACCCCTCTCATGTCTTACTTCTGTTACCTTGTCATAAAACTCCAGAAGGTTTGTGAGACAGGATTTGCCTTCCATGAATCCATGCTGGTTTTCATTTATAATCTTGTTCCTTTCCAGGTGTTCGACCACTCTCCTCCTGATAATCTTCTCCATAACTTTGCACACAATACATGTCAGACAGGTCTGTAGTTTAGTGCCTCATTTCCGTTTCCTTTCTTAAATGTGGGGACTACATTTGCTGTCTTCCATTTCTCAGGTAGTTGCCCAGTTTCAAGGGATGTGTTGATTGTGGTTAGGGGCACGCACAGCATCTCTGCTCCTTCTCTTAGGACCCATGGGGAGATGTTGTCCGGTCCCATCGCCTTTGAGGTATCAAGGTCACTTAGCTTCTGCACCTCCTCCTCGGTTGTTCGTATGTCATCCAACACTTGTTGGTATGGAAACAAACACATATGCAGTTTAATGTGATCCTTTATTGACAACGTTTCGCCCACACAGTGGGTTTTTTTTCAAGTCACAAACAGATCTACCTGGGGTGGAAGGTACGCGAGTATTTATAGTCAGGTTCAGAATGTTGAGGTCAGGTGGAGAATGCTGCATCTGATGATCTACCGGGTGGGGTTATAGAGTCTAAACTCCCAGACACTCCAACGTTCAAGCTGTCCAAGACAAGCTCAACCAGGTCGAGCCCTCAATCCAGTTCACACTTGAAGTCGACAACACTTCCTTTCCTTGATATTGTTCTCTGCAAAGCTAACCATGAACTTGTTTTAAAGTATCGAAAACCCACCAACCAAAACTATCTTCTCCACTTCTACTCCCACGACACAAACTAAACGTGGTGTTATTATAGGCTTCTTCCTGTGCGCACTCAATCTGCAGTAATGAATTCCTTGAGGAAGAATGTACTATAATTGAACAAGTATTTCCCAAATTCCACTATCCTCGTCACTTCATCAGACTGCAGACGGCGGGCATTAAACATCTTCAACACACCCAGAGAAGACACTGCCGAGAAGAGATACATAGTCCTCCCCACCAACTCCATTGCCAAACATGTTTCCAACATCTTTGCCAATACATCATTCCAAGTATCTACCTCCACAACCACGACCATCAAGGATATCACCAGTAGTAAACAGGACAAGCTTCCATCCTCTGCAGGGGTATACATAATCCCTTGTAATGACTGCAACAAATTATACGTGGGCGAAACATCAAGAGACCTCCAAACACGTATTTCAGAACACCAGTACGCAAGCAGGACTGACGATACAAGGAATGCCTGTGTACAACATCGCAATTCACAACCATTTAATTAACTACAGAAACTCAAGACTTACCACCACAGAAGACAACACTCAATACCGAAGAATCCTGGAATTATCGCTTATCTCTATAACCAACAATTTCAACCAGAACAATGGCTTCTATAACATAGCTGAACCACTCGCCAAGAAACTTCATCGCTATCCCACATAAGAACATAGAACACTGCAGAACGTCTACTCAACTTGTCCAATACCCCTGCCAAGCTACCCAAGACTATAACCCCACCCGGTACATCAGATGCAGCATTCTCCACCTGACCTCAACATTCTGAACCTGACTAAAAACGTTTCGCCTACACAGTAGGCTTCTTAGTCGAGTACAGAAAGTAGGCAGGAACAGTAGAGATGTGAAGACAATGTAATCAGTCCATCACCCTTGAAGTCGTAGATTTGAGGTTTTCAGTCCCTCAGCCTGGAGAAGTTGTTCCAAAGTCTGGAACTGAAGATCAAGCGACAGCGTTGAGACAATTACTGTCGGAAGGAGAGGTGCAGAGTAGTGAGAATGTAGCCACTGAGAGGTCGTCCCTCTCAGATCAAACAATTCTCACTTGAAAAAGTTGTCCAAGGAGTTTGCTGTACCACCACCACCACCACTACTCTGCCCCTCTCCTTCCGACAGTTTGTCTCAACATTGTCGCTTGATCTTCAGTTCCAGACTTTGGAACAGAACTTCTCCAGGCTGAGGGACTGACAACCTCAAATCTACGACTACAAGGGTGATGGACTGATTACATCATCACATCTCTACTGTTCCTGCCTACTTTCTGTATTCGACTGAAGAAGCCTGTGTAGGCGAATTATTATAATAAAGGGGGAAACGCTAAACCCGGAGGATTATACAGCGCCTGGGGGGGTTGATGTGGAAGGCATTCAGGCTTAATTCGGGGAACTGGAGCACAGATCCAATTCCCTAAATCAAGAGCCCCTCACCAACATCAAGGAACCTTCCTTGGGGTGTGTAGGCGAAACTTTTCTGAATAATGTTGCCTGTCTTATCTACCAACCTGTATTATATACCATTTTATAATCTTGAACTTTTTAAAAAGTCCACTGTGGGCGAAACTGTCAATAAAGGATCTCTTTAAACTGCATGCGTTTGTTTCCATAGTATTTTATACCATTTATTTTCACTTTGGTATATTCTTTCTATGTTCCTTCTGTGCTGTCTTCCCACAGCCCTTCCTGTCTCTACTGTAAAAACTTCCTTAAATCTCCTGTTCAGCTCCTCACATACCTCCTGATCATTTCTTGCGAGTTCTCCACCTTCTGTCCTTAATCTGATCACCTGGTCTTTGTTGTATAGCGACATCAGGAGGAATAAAACAGTTTCGGGGTCAGTCTTTTGATGCCATGTCATCCTCGTACTGTCGCTGGGCCTCCCTCCTTACCTGTGCATACTCTTTCCTGGCTCTGCTACTAATCTCCCTATTTTCATGTGTTCTACCTTTCCCCCCCCCCCCCCCCCACTCACTATTGCACTGTTTTTGCCTCTACACCGTTGGGTAAAACAGGGGCTCGTTCTGGTCTTCCCATTGTTTGTTGCCCTTGGGAATAAACCTTGCCACTGCCTCCATGCATATTCCATCATTTCGTTCACTGGCTTTCCTGCCAGTTCTGTCCCACGGAACCTCCCGCAGGAAGTTCCCCAACCCTATGTAGTCCCCTGTTTCATAGAGGCTTTTCCCATTCACCTGTTACTTTCTCTACTTGCAACTACCATGTATGTATGCGTGCAGGCTTACTCAGCGCTTTAACTTCAGATAGTTGTTACCAAGGCTGGCTCCTCCTCAGGAAAATTAATGAATAGAAGAAATAATTCAAAGACACACGTTTTATTATTTAATAATACAAAAGAAAATATTGAAACTGTGTATCCTAGTTAAAAAAAATTTAAAGTAAAAACGAAGTTAGAATTAAACGCTAATATGTACAGTTTGTTATACTGGGATGTCTGGTTGAGGTTGACACCGTTCTTCAGTCTATAGCCTTGAATAGTCAGTCCAGATGACAGGAACGCAGGTTCCTTACCACTGCGAAGATAAGGGGTAGTTGCTTGTAGGTGGGCTACGATGAATCAGGTAGGTAGATCAATAAGTGAAATCTTCAACACCTTGGTTGGCAGGCGACCCGAGCGGTCATTCCAAGCTGAAAAGAAACAAAGGTTACCCACTGCTTAAGAAATCACTGTCCATAAGTACAATACCTAAGATGTGGTGAACATCTAAAACATTACACGAGACTTATGACTGAAAGGACTAAATTCATTATTGGTCAAAAGTGAAGCTTACAACCAGTATATCCACTGGTATAGAAGCAGAGGTTTGTACTTATAGTTGTGCTGGCAGCTGCGAGTCAAGTGTTTACTGTGGCCGGAGCCCCACACGTCACCTTTTGGGGTGGAGAAAAGGGGGAGGGAATAGCGGGAGGTAGACTGACCCTACCTTAACAAGCAGCCGGCAATCAAATTATCGTCACCATATACTCGCTTGTTACTCCTGTCAGTTGAACTTTTCCCTCACAGTGTGTGTGTGTGTGTGTGTGTGTGTGTGTGTGTGTGTGTGTACTCACCTATTTGTGGTTGCAGGGGTCGAGTCCTAGCTCCTGGCCCCGTGTGTGTGTGTGTGTGTGTGTGTGTGTGTGTATGTGTGTGTGTGTGTGTGTGTGTGTGTGTGTGTGTGTTGTGTGTATTGTGTGTGTGTGTGTGTGTTGTGTTTACCTGGAGTTTACCTGGAGAGAGTTCCGGGGGTCAACGCCCTCGCGGCCCGGTCTGTGACCAGGCCTCCTGGTGGATCAGAGCCTGATCAACCAGGCTGTTGCTGCTGGCTGCACGCAAACCAACGTACGAGCCACAGGCCGGCTGGTCAGGAACCGACTTTAGGTGCTTGTCCAGTGCCAGCTTGAAGACTGCCAGGGGTCTGTTGGTAATCCCCCTTATGTATGCTGGGAGTCAGTTGAACAGTCTCGGGCCCCTGACACTTATTGTATGGTCTCTTAACGTGCTAGTGACACCCCTGCTTTTCATTGGGGGGATGGTGCATCGTCTGCCAAGTCTTTTGCTTTCGTAGTGAGTGATTTTCGTGTGCAAGTTCGGTACTAGTCCCTCTAGGATTTTCCAGGTGTATATAATCATGTATCTCTCCCTCCTGCGTTCCAGAGAATACAGGTTTAGGAACCTCAAGCGCTCCCAGTAATTTTTTTTTTATATTTTATTTAAATACAGCACAACATATAAATAATTAAAATAACACATGAATTAGCCATTTGCAAATACAATGACCTACCATCAACCCCATTACATATCCTGAATGTTTTGTTCATATTTTTACTAAAGGATATTACATCACCTAACGGAATGATAAGAGCAAGATGGCTCCTGCACAGAAAATTACATTAACACAGTCAAAACCTCACAATTTATGCCTGAGCATACAGAAAACCCCCCACAGCTCTGTACAATAAAACCCCTTGCACAAAGTACACAGAAATTATAATACAACATACAAAAGATATAATTATACATTACATTAGCTTAAACAGTAGGCAAACCTAAGCCTACAATAAAGAGTGCAATAACACATACCACAGAAAAAATTGAGCAGGAAACACCCGCAAGTAAAAGACATAACATTATACATACAATAACAGCCCAACGTTTCTGTAAATCCGGAGGCTTGTAGACTACCACAATGACTAGGTTTTGATTCTCGACCTTTACTGCTAAAACTTCCACTACATCATTTGAGGCATTAAGCAGTTCTGTGCAAACAAGTGACTCTGCAATGTACAGGCCAACCCCCCCCTTTTGCCTGTTCACTCTGTCACATCTGTATAGGTTGTAACCTGGGATCCATATTTCGTTGTCCAAGTGATCCTTTATGTGGGTCTGGAGTTTACCTGGAGAGAGTTCCGGGGGTCAACGCCCCCGCGGCCCGGTCTGAGACCAGGCCTCCTGGTGGATCAGAGCCTGATCAACCAGGCTGTTGCTGCTGGCTGCACGCAAACCAACATACGAGCCACAGCCCGGCTGATCCGGAACTGACTTTAGGTGCTTGTCCAGTGCCAGCTTGAAGACTGCCAGGGGTCTGTTGGTAATCCCCCTTATGTGTGCTGGGAGGCAGTTGAACAGTCTCGGGCCCCTGACACTTATTGTATGGTCTCTTAACGTGCTAGTGACACCCCTGCTTTTCATTGGGGGGATGGTGCATCGTCTGCCAAGTCTTTTGCTTTCGTAGTGGGTGATTTTCGTGTGCAAGTTCGGTACTAGTCCCTCTAGGATTTTCCAGGTGTATATAATCATGTATCTCTCCCTCCTGCGTTCCAGGAATACAGGTTTAGGAACCTCAAGCGCTCCCAATAATTGAGGTGTTTTATCTCCGTTATGCGCGCCGTGAAAGTTCTCTGTACATTTTCTAGGTCGGCAATTTCACCTGCCTTGAAAGGTGCTGTTAGTGTGCAGCAATATTCCAGCCTAGATAGAACAAGTGACCTGAAGAGTGTCATCATGGGCTTGGCCTCCCTAGTTTTGAAGGTTCTCATTATCCATCCTGTCATTTTTCTAGCAGATGCGATTGATACAATGTTATGGTCCTTGAAGGTGAGATCCTCCGACATGATCACTCCCAGGTCTTTGACGTTGGTGTTTCGCTCTATTTTGTGGCCAGAATTTGTTTTGTACTCTGATGAAGATTTAATTTCCTCATGTTTACCATATCTGAGTAATTGAAATTTCTCATCGTTGAACTTCATATTGTTTTCTGCAGCCCACTGAAAGATTTGGTTGATGTCTGCCTGGAGCTTTGCAGTGTCTGCAATGGAAGACACTGTCATGCAGATTCGGGTGTCATCTGCAAAGGAAGACACGGTGCTGTGGCTGACATCCTTGTCTATGTCGGATATGAGGATGAGGAACAAGATGGGAGCGAGTACTGTGCCTTGTGGAACAGAGCTTTTCACCGTACCTGCCTCGGACTTTACTCTGTTGACGACTACTCTCTGTGTTCTGTTAGTGAGGAAATTATAGATCCATCGACCGACTTTTCCTGTTATTCCTTTAGCACGCATTTTGTGCGCTATTACGCCATGGTCACACTTGTCGAAGGCTTTTGCAAAGTCTGTATATATTACATCTGCATTCTTTTTGTCTTCTAGTGCATTTAGGACCTTGTCGTAGTGGTCCAATAGTTGAGACAGACAGGAGCGACCTGTTCTAAACCCATGTTGCCCTGGGTTGTGTAACTGATGGGTTTCTAGATGGGTGGTGATCTTGCTTCTTAGGACCCTTTCAAAGATTTTTATGATATGGGATGTTAGTGCTATTGGTCTGTAGTTCTTTGCTGTTGCTTTACTGCCCCCTTTGTGGAGTGGGGCTATGTCTGTTGTTTTTTAGTAACTGTGGGACGACCCCCGTGTCCATGCTCCCTCTCCATAGGATGGAAAAGGCTCGTGATAGGGCTTCTTGCAGTTCTTGATGAACACAGAGTTCCATGAGTCTGGCCCTGGGCAGAGTGCATGGGGATGTCATTTATCGCCTGTTCGAAGTCATTTGGCGTCAGGATAACATCGGATAGGCTTGTGTTAATCAAATTTTGTGGCTCTCTCATAAAAAATTCATTTTGATCTTCGACTCTCAGTCTGGTTAGCGGCTTGCTAAAAACTGAGTCATATTGGGACTTGAGTAGCTCACTCATTTCCTTGTTGTCATCTGTGTAGGACCCATCTTGTTTAAGTAGGGGCCCAATACTGGACGTTGTTCTCGATTTTGACTTGGCATAGGAGAAGAAATACTTTGGGTTTCTTTCGATTTCATTTATGGCTTTTAGTTCTTCCCGCGATTCCTGACTCCTAAAGGATTCTTTTAGCTTAAGTTCGATGCTTGCTATTTCTCTGACCAGTGTCTCCCTACGCATTTCAGATATATTGACCTCTTTTAGCCGCTCTGTTATTCTTTTCCGTCGCCTGTAAAGGGAGCGCCTGTCTCTTTCTGTTTTACATCTACTCCTCCTTTTTCTTAGAGGAATAAGCCTTGTGCATACATCGAATGCTACCGAGTTAATCTGTTCTAGGCATAAGTTGGGGGCTGTGAAAGCCGCGAACATTGCCTTTGCCTCTGCAAGCAGTCCACGGATGAAAGGTATTTTGTTTGTTGCTGGCTTTAGACCCTGTATATTTGCAAAGAAGAATGTTATCGGACTGGTGATATTGTTGATACTGGGGGGGGATTTTTTTTCCGGCATTAGTATCTGTATCTGTTGGTTTGGAGTGGAGGCCATCGACTGTGGTTCCACTCCAGGAATGACTGGATTTGGTGTACGATTTCTGCCATTTCCTGCCAGTTTTTTTTCCTTCCTGGCACTAAAAAACCTCTCCCTGTTGAGTGGCTGTGGCTACCCAGGTTTTCCCATGGCCTGGATGTTTTGTATCTTTTTGTCCCCTTTAGATGGTATGCCTGGCAATTTAAGTTATAGCACAGTCTTTCCTGTACTGAAGAGGTATACATTTCAGGGTGAAAAAGCTTACAGGAAGGGAGTTTGCATTTTCCTGTTGTCATATGGGCATGGCATTTTCTAGGGTGGTCATAGTTGCACGTCCCATCTGTTTTTCCAGATTTCCCATGTCTGCAGATACCAAGTGCATAGTATGTGCACAGGCTTGGTTTCTGTTTGCCTTGGGTTTCTGTGACTGTATTCCCTGTTGGTGTATGTTTACCTGTTAGGGAAGTATGTGGAATTTTTTGCCTGTAGCCGCTACATGGCTGGGGTTTTATACTTTATACCTTTGTATTCTGTGATGTTACCATTATATAAAGTTTTTATTTACATACTATGTTGAATGAATAGGGTTTACATGCTAAGATAATTGCACATAAGCTGCCCAATCTCCTATCTCGAATAATTTTGATTTTTTTTTGTTTTATTAGAAACCTTACAAAAGTACAAAGGATGCATAATAAAGTACAGGAATACAAAACATTGTTTTGTTCTACTAGTACCAGGTTATTCCTGGCGGGAACAAGTATTATAACATCTTGTTATAGCATAACAATACACGCTAAGACAAACCTCACTAAAGTTTATCAGTCATTAATAGTTGCCGCCAAGCCATTGTACCCAAAGAAAACACACCAAAAAGAAATTTTACATAGTTTAACAATATAAAATGAATACCTGACATGTCCTATTACAACAAAAACATCACAAGATTAACCAAAACTACCATAACCACTACCAAACAAAACCCTAACATACCCGCTATGACAGGGTACAGATTACTGGTTAAGTTATGGTACATTAGATCCTAACCAATAGGAACCCGGAAGGAACATATGATTCCTTGCATAACAACCATAG